TAGGCAGAAGATGGACTTACAAGCTTTCTATGGTGATATTTCTGACTATTTCTTTCTCTCCCCCTCCAGTGTCTATTTTATAATGGTATGCAAGGGAAACTAAGATTCAAAAGACAGCCAAACATCTTAACATTATTTTCCCCCTTTTACCCATTCCAACCATGTCTCAATCCCTGTATCCCAGAGTCGTTGTTCCAAGGTTGTGCATACATCATTCTTTACCTCTGTCCCACTTAGCCCGTGCAAACCTGCCTAATTGTTCTCCCATCCACTTTGCTCTTCCATTCCCCCTCTCCCTTCTTGTATATTGCACCCCCCCAGCACCCAAACTTTCCTGTGTCTATTCCCTGCCCTGTGCTCCACCTTCCCCTCCCTCCCCTCACCCCACTCCCCCATGTCCCAGCAACCAGCAAAGAACACCCCCCCCCCTTTAGTATGGGTTCTGTTTTCTTAGTCTTTTACAGTAGTGGTCCTATGCAGTATTTCTCCTTTTGTGACTAATTTCACTCAACATAATGTCCTCAAGGTTCATCCATGTTATGTGGTGGCTTGCAGCTTCCTTGTTATTCTTCAAGGTAGCATAATATTCCATTGTGTGTATGTACCATAGTTTGTTTATCCATTCTTCAGTTGATGGGTACTTAGGCTATCTCCATCTTTTTGCTATTGTAAATAGTGCTGCTATGAACATTGGTGTGCATATATCTACTCATGTTATGGCTCATATTTCTTGTGGGTAAATACCAAATAGAGGAATTGCTGGATCATAGGTATTTCTATTTCCAACCTTCTGAGGAAGCCATATTGCTTTACAGAGAGGTTGGACTATTTTGCAGTCCCACCAGCAATACAGGAGCATCCCAGTCTCTCCACATCCCCTCCAGCATTTATTGCCCTCTACTTTTTTTTTTAAATCTTTGCTGTTGTTGCTGGTGTGAGATGATATCTCATTGCTGTTTTGATTTGCATCTCTCTAATGGCTAGTGATCGTGAACATTTCTTCATGTTTGTTGGTTTCCTGGATCTCCTTCTTGGTGAAGTGTCTGTTCATGTCCTGTGCCCACTTTTTAATTGTGTTGTCTTTTTATTGTAGAGGTGTTGTAGTTTTCTATATATTTTAGAAGTAAGTCCCTTGTCTGATGTGTCATTGCAAAAGATTTTTTCCCATTCTGTGGGTTCCCTTTTTACTCTTCTGGTGAAGTCTTTTGATGCACATAAGTTTTTAATTTTTAGTATGTCCCACTCATCTATTTTGTCTACTTTTGTTTGGTTTTCAGAATGTTTTGTAGTCTGTTTATTCCCTGAATTAGTGCCCTCACATTTGTCCCAATTTTTTCATTGATGGCCTTCATAATTCTGGGATTCACATTTAGGTCTTTAATCCATGTTGAGTTGGTTTTTGTATAAGGTGTGAGGTGAAGGTCTTATTTCAATCTTTTGCATATCACTTTCCAGTTCCCGACTTGCTACCAGAGTTTCTTGAAAGGAGGATAGACACATGAATTATTCATAGAACTAAAAATGAATACATGAAAGGTTAGTAGTATTTCCTGAGGCATAAAGACCTTCAAAGAGATAGGAGGACAGGGAAAGAGAAAGAAGATAAATTACGTAGGACAGGCATGTTTATTTCTGAAGTCCTTCTAGAATAATCGCTGCATATACAGAATGTGTCCCATTAGACTGAAAACACCAGAGATACAAGGAAAGTATAACTGACCTGGCATCCTGGGTGGATTGCATGATTAAATCTCTTAGATTGGAGAAAGCTATCATTAAATCAGTCTTAAAATTAGGAGTAAATTGTTTTAAACTCTGTGTTGGTACTTACTGATGCTTGAGCCACTCGGCCACAAACGGAATGGAGAAGAATTCTGTGAACGGCTCCTCTATTCTCTTTGGATTATGACTGATGATGGTGCCATATGTTTGACAGACAAGAAAACAATAAGCAAGAATCCAAGTCAATTGTTGCCATTCTGCTTGCAAATTAACGTGACTGAATCCTTAGGGTCAATGAATATTCAAAGACATGAACGACTTACTTGTATAACCACTCTGTCAGAAAATCACAGGCAATGAATTTCGTTGTTTTCCTCTAAAGAGAGAAAGGGAGGTTTAAATGACATATGTGTTTTACCCCCATGTCTGAGCAGGACAAAGGAAGGAGAGGTTCATTGACTGCTTGTGTTGGATGGAATATGCATGAGTCCTTTTTGAGGTTTACAAGCACATCAATGAGCAATGTAAAGAATTCTGAAGGCATTTCTCCAGCCATCTGGGGTGGTGCTGTGCCGTAGAGTCGGTTCTGACTCACAGCGACCCTGTACAGGGTTTCTGAGGCTGTAAATCTTTACGGGAGCAGAACGCTTCATCTTTCTCCCGCGGAACCGCTGTTAGTTTCAAACTGCTGACCTTGAGGTTAGCAGCCCAATTCGTAACCACTACTCTCCCAGAGCTCCTTCTTTAGGTAAGCATATTTTCTGAGAGCCGGCACTAATAAAAGGACACTGTACGTAGTAGAAAGATCCCTGGTGGTGGTGTTGGTTAAGCATTGGTGTGTTAACCACAAGGTTGGTGGTGGTTCAAACCCACCAGCGGCTCTACAGGTGGGAGATGAGGTTGTCTGCTTCTGTAAAGATCATCTGGGAAACTCTATAGAGGGTCACTGTGAATCACAATCAGCTCAGTGGCGTGATTTGGTTTGGGTACATAGTAGACGCTTATGACATGTTTTGGGAATGGTAGGCAAGGTTTGGTTATCTAAATCTAGGCCCACGTTCTCTTTTCCAAGTAACTGCATTGGATGCTTTTCTCTAGTCTGTGCAAGCCCTCAGAACCTGGCCCTACGTTTGAATGAGCAAACCAAGGACACAGGTGCTATTGGTCCAGTTCTCTGTCGGTTTCCCACCCAGTTGGTTTGAACCACAAGGTCTGTGGCTCAAGCTCACCAGCTGCTCCTCGGAAACCCTTTACAGGGTTGCTATGGGTTAGAACCAACTTGACGCCACTTAACACCAATAACATCTCTGTTCTCTACTTAACCTTATTAACAGAAACTTGATTACTTCCAAATGACAGTCATCCTAGCCCAACAACTCTATCTCCCAGCCTCTCTTGCGGCAGTCATGCAACACATTCATTTTCTATTTAGCGGCAGAAGGGGCACCGTTCTGCCATGTGAGAGAGAAATGGACATGTCCTGGGGATTTTGGAGAAAGTTCTACTACCTGATATAGGAGCTGTCCCTTCTTCCCTAGACAATTCCTTGTGTTTCTTTCAGTTTGGAGCATGGATGTGAGGCAGGAAGTGGAATGGTACCTTTGGTCAAAACCCACATGACACTAAATATGGTGAAGCAGGTGACTGGAAGGAGCCTGGACCACTGATCACTTCCTCAAGCCATTGCACCGACTCGGGCACGTCCCACTCTGGATATCTTGTGACGTAAGACTACAGAACTCTAGTGGCCTGTAGTCACTGTTCTTGAGAAGGCATGCTGAGAATGGGAATGTGTACAGTGCCAATTTCCATTTAAAGATTCTTCTTGTAACCCAAACAAAGTCAGTCACTGCCTTGTAGAGTTGCTGTGGAGACCGGTCCTTGTAGGGGGTATCACCAAATCCTGGCTGCCATGTGGAGCACTCCTGCCCAAGAATGAAGATGACACAGAGAGTGCTAGAAATGTTCCCTTTTCTTTCCAGATCCACCCTTCTCCATTCAGCTTTGTGCCTCAGGAGACTGCTTATAAAATCAGTCAGATCTCCAGTCCTCCAGCTGGGTCTAGGTAATGGAGGGAACCAGCAGGCCAGAGGAGGAGGAAGAGAGGAAGGACAGGGTATCTATCCCCCCCTGCTGGCTTGTAGACTGGCAGTAGCTGTGTTCCTCTTCTAGAGCTAGAGCGTTCACCTAGCTACTGAAGCCAGCCTTCCCTGGTCCCTTCAGGCCAAGGACAGGAAGGGACTTTCAGCTGTTGCAAGCCCTGGGTGCATCATCAGCTCTTGCTGGTTTCCCTCAACCTACTCATATTTTTATAAAAAGTCCCATTATTAAACTCCCTTCAACCAGCCCCCTGAATGGGCCTCCTGATTCCCACCAGAACACTGGGCAGTACTCAGAGGACAGCAGAGCTGGGAAATGGACTAATGCCTCTGGGTCCAGTCATGCCCCAGTCTACTGCACAGTTGGACTGACCAGTTATGTAGGCCAATACATTTCCGTTTTTGTTTAGCATCATAACAACAATAGCAATAACAAATGACTAGTAATTTCTTCTCTTTTGTCCCAGATCAGCTAGATTCTGACTCTGCTATTAGGCCTTATGTCACTAAGCCAGGTGTTGCCTCACATCCTTTCATTTAATCCCCATGACAACCGTCTTATAGAGGACGTCCAGACGAGATAAACTGAGACAGAGGGGGCAGGCACTTTGTCTAGTTAGGTGATGGAATCCCAGGTCTACAAAGCCCATGACCTCTATCTTATTGGACAGGGGCTACATTTCCATACCACCTACTCCGTACAGGCAAGATGTTGTGATCAACAGTGAACACAGACTAGTCTGGGCTTCAGTTTAGCTATGAATCAGTTCATCATACTAATTTCCTTGTTATCAGTTAGCTTTTCTGGGTACTAATTGAATATTAAATGCAAGTCTGGTGCATTTTTAGAATTTTAAATGTAAAATTGTTGTTAAGTGCTACTGAGTTGGTTATGACTCATAATCACCCTGTATAGGGTTTCCAAGGAGCAGCTGGTGGGCTTGAAGCACCAACCTTGAGGTTAGCAGTCCAGTGCTTACCCTACAGCACCACACCAACGTTCAGTATTGGCATGATTGTGATGAAGTGGGTTTATATATTCATTGCTGGAGGCAGAAGAAGAACATAATCCTTCAGGGGAAAACGTATTACACACAATCAAAATCATAAATGCAACCATGTAAACACTCCATTTCTAGAATTTTATTGTCCAGAAATAGTTTAACACAACAAGCAGCATGGTATAAGGAGGAAAATGTTCACGGCAACATTAGACATACAAGTAATAGCAAACACAGAAAACTGGTCAAATATGAAGAAGTTGCTCATTAGTGGTCCATTGACCCAATGGGATAGGATGCTTCTGACATAAGGGTTAGATAACGTAGCCAAATATGACGTTCACCACACAGCTCTACAAAGAGCACATAGATACACAAGGGACACAGTACTGCAAAAATGACAACACTTGTATTAAGAGTGAAACATGCATCATAGAAATTGTCGCTAACAACCTTTCTCTTCAGTAGGATCAGTACTTCACTATTCTGGCAAAGCCATAATCCCTGGAGGCATAATACACTTATCATTAGAAAGATGGACAGCAAAAATTGAGTTGAAGAAATTGGAAGCAATTTTTTATGTACCTACTAGATGTCTTAATGCATTTTCATAGTGTCAAAGAGATGTCCTCTTTTAATATAAATGCAATTTAGATTGCCTACTTTAAACATTATATTTGATTGCAATCCATGGAAACTGTGGCTGCCACAAAATGCTTCTCATCTTCTGACAGTCTTCCCTCCCACAGTGAACAGGGCTGACCTGTATAACCAATAGGAGAGGACAGAAATGATGGAGTGTGGCTTCTGAGGTGAAATCATAAAGACACATGGCTTCTGACTCACCCTCTTGCATCACTTGCCAGAGGATACCTGTTATGGGTTCAATTTGTCAGGGTGCCCAAACCTATGGTAAATCCTAACCTGTATACCTGTTGAGAAGTCCTGGTGTCGTGCTGTGGGCAAATACGCTGGACTGCAAGGGTGGTTTGAACTACAGGTTCAGTGGTTCAAGCTCACCAACTGCTCCTCAGAAACACTACATGGGGTTGCTATAAGTCCGAACCTTAACAACAACAACCTACCTGTGGAGGTAATCCCATTTAGGAATAGGATGTCTCTGTTATGTTAATGAGGCAGGATTCCTGTTAGTTTACCTTGAGGGAATCTCTTTTGAGAAATAAGAGATATTAAACAAATAGCAGAGATGGGGGAAGACAGATGTTAAGCACAAGACTGACATTCTAAGAGCAAACAGGCTCAGGAGAGACAAAAACCTTCCTTCCAGAGCCAACAGAAAAAGCCTTCCCCTAGAGCCTGGGCTCCGAATTCAGACTTCCAACCTCCTATAACTGAGAGGAAATACTTGGTCTGTTAAAGCCATTCATTGATGGTATTTCTGTTACAGCAAAATTCTAAAGCGAAGATAAGCCTTGAAAAACCCTAAGGATATGAGCACCCTTCGCCTGCCAATTTGTGGTACTGAGGTGAGTTGTGTGTCACTGGGATGCTGGAGCTATGTTTTAAATACCAGCAAGGTCATCCAAGGTGGACAGGTTTCAACAGAGCTTCCAGACTAAGACTAGGACTTAGGAGAGGTGGGCCACTTCTGAAAGGTTAGCCATTGACAACCTTATGAAGAGGAGGAAAATACTGTCTGGTATTGAGGCAGAAGATGAGCCCTTCAGGTAGGAAGGCACTCAAAATATGACTGGGGAAGAGCTGCCTCCTCAAAGTAGAGCTGACTTTTAATAGTGTGGAGGGAACAAAGATTTGGGGACCTTCATTTGCTGATAGGACACAACTCAAATTGAGAATTAACAGCAGCAAACATCCATTAATGATCAGAATGTGAAATATGTGAGTATGAATCTAGGAAAATTGGAAGTTGACAAAAAGGAAATGGAATGCATGAAGATCACTATCTCAGGCATTAGTGAGCTGAAATGGACAGGCACTGGCTGTACTGAATCAAACAGTCATATGTTTACTATGCTGGGAATGACACCATCAAGAGGAATGGTGTCGAAGCTTAGAGCGAGGGTCCCAGAGAGTGGTTTTGCCTGCTTAGAGCTTGGACTGTTTGTGAGTGAATACCCAGGAAACCACTGGCAGTTGAGCTGGTGACAATGCCACCACTGGAATCAGCGACCCTCAGAGAGGTAGCTCTAGACTTCAATGAGGAAGAAGGGGGGCACTGCTGGACAGAGCCCAGAGAAAGCTATTTAGAGATATGATGGTGGAAAACATCGATCACTTAGTATTTGTGGAAATGG